CCAGACTCATATTGGTCGCGGGGCCTAGAACGGCCCTGTCACGACCTGCGAGGAGGAGAAACAGTATACATTTTACGTAACTATCAACCTTAAAAATTAACTAAGTATTAAATATTGTGCAAGAATTGTTCAATCTAAACGAACAATTCTGTTAAAGACCCTAACTTACACTACGATTTATATGCCATTCGGAGCGAGAAGCCTGTTACTTAAAATTGTAAGAGGGCAACTCTGCTTCCAAAATAATTCAACTAACTCTGTTAGAATTCTGTTTAAACAGAATTGTACAGAATTTTAATTTAAAAACGGAGACTTTTCCTATCAACAAACTCAAATAATTCAAATCCAAATTCACATTCAAACATTCAAACATTTAAATACAGAATTTAATTCAAAGAAGGAGACTTTTCCTATCAACTAATTCAAATAAATTCAAATTCAAATTCAAATTTTCAGATACATTTTTACGACTGATTGTTCAATCGTGCAATTGTTCAATCTAGACGAACAATTCCTTAAAATTATGTCAAACAGAATTTCAATTCACTGGAGACTTTCCCTCTCACTAAATTCCTATCAATACATTTAAATACAATATATTCAAACACAAAATTCACGGCCGTTGATTAAGTCACTTTGTCACTGGTTAACAACATTCAGACCCAGTTCAACAGCTTAAATGAATTTGTATTTAAAAATATATTAATGTCTACGCAGAATATCTTTGGCTGAGTAACTTACAACTACGATTTATAAACCCTAATTATATTTAATTACCCTTGCCGACAATTATCAAGCTTGATATAAATCATTCGGAGCGAGAAGCCCGTTACTTAAATTGTAAGAGGGCAACTCTGCTTCCAAATTAATGAAAATAGCGATGATATAATTCAAGCAGCAATGCAGTAATAAACCACTATGGTTCACTCTCCCTCCCCACTCACAAAATCGGCACTCCAAAATAAAGTGCAAAACACAATTTCAATAAGAGGTGAATGAACCCTAAATTACACCCAGCAAATACTTCACTCCCAAAACCCATTAAAATGTCAAAGATATATACGTCAAAGCTAAGCTAAACGAAGGGATAAAATAAGCCTCAAACAATCATTCACACAAGGTACGCACCCGAAATACTCCACCCCAGCATAACAATAAGTTACCATAGGGTGTGGGGTGCGACTGGCTGAGTCGTTGCGAAATGTTTGGGACAAAAAAAAGTCCTCTTACACCCCCCCCCCCTCCCTCCCACCGCTTATTCAGCGGTTGGCTGAGTCGTGGCGAAATTTTTGGCCCGATTTCAAAATGATACCCCCCCCCCTTGAAAAAATCCTGCGTACGCCATTGAACACACCACATGCACCTACACTCATATACAGTCATTGTACGTTAGTTAAAATAGATGAAGTTTAAAAAAAGCAGTAGCTCACTTTTCGTTCAGGAATAAGCAAAGTTTTTGACGGGACTCACATCTTCAACAAAAGAACACTATTTTATTAGTATATACATAATCTTTTCATATACAAGATAAGTCAGACTATACACCCCTTGATCAAATAACATCAGAGTTGATTTCATTGATTTAAATTCTCACTTTATAAAAAAAAAAATAATAATAATAAAAAAATAAATAAAAAAAATCGCATTTACTATTAAGATCAAAAAACTATTTTTTTTTACTATGGATTATACAACAATTCAATATAATTTTATTCGCTATGTAAAAATCCTTACCATGAACGGAAGAACAAAATGAATACAATTAAAGCATGACAAAAACTGTCGAGATTGATTTTACATGTGTACCATGTTGCCCATGGCAATGCCCGTTGCTCACAAAGTGTCATTTGACTGACGTACGAGTGCGTCGGCGACTAGCGCATCATTTTGACGCACCGTGTACGGGTGATAATTATTGTACATAACGTGACACTCAGTAAACAGTGCAATTGTTGCTTTGAATTTTACTCTATACGGGCTCGACAATCAGCGCAAGCAACATCGCATTCAAAATGACGCATCCTGTGCGTCAGACAATAATGATGGATAGCCTATGTGCAGTGAGCACTGCGTCAAAACGGTACAGCTTGAGCAATCATACTGTAAATGACACTGAAGCAAGTTAAGTAATTGTACACAGATATTTAGCTTAATTAAGCGTATCACAAAGGATATGAAAGACGTTATATATTGAGTACATTTGCCTCAGTGTATAAAGATGCAATCCCAATCCAGAAAGACAAAGCGAGTATAATGCATTTAAGGCACACATGCCTACTCTAAATAACATGCAGAATAAATAACATGGATATAATATAATATAATATCAATTAAAGTTTTTTGGGATATAAAGATAAAACGAGATTAGAGAATTAACCATTATTTATATAAAATACAGGTATAGATACAATGAACAATCAAATTGAAGTAAAATCGCACGACACTGCATACATTGCCATTTTAGATGAATCTTGAGGCACAGCTTTGCAATCAAATTATTAAAAGTTCTTAGCAATTCAGCCTTGGTCTATACATAATAGAGTTGTGCCACTTGTGCAAACCATTATTGTTACCCTGACGTAATTCAATAACGTACCCCAATAAACATAACAAATCATTTATAAACGGAAACGGTGTCCGAGTGTTCAATGATTCAACGATTACATTCATTATATTCATTTGAAGAGATGATATTTGATATAAAACACAGAATACTTATGTATCAACAAACTGTATGAAATACATTTAAAATGGTCTTTTATGATAAACGGTATACCTTCCCTTGCAGCCTCATAACATTATTATATCCTTGCTACATAAGAGTTACACCATAACATAAATCATTAAGATATGGTTGTGGATGAAAAAATTCGTACAAAAAACTAAACTATATATTATGTTAGTATACATGATGAATTCATCCTATAATTCTCAGCCTCTATTTACAAAAGGTACATTTTACGTCTGCAAAAATGGAAGTATAAAACACGACTTCAATTCATTATGTTATTAATATTTCCAGAGCCCTTATACACTCTTAACCCCGCAAGCAAATAACATTTTGTCATGAGAAGGAAAAGTAAGATTGGTGAATACATAGTAAGATACTACGAAAGATGAAAAGTGATAAATCTCGCCCCACTGATTGTCTATCTGAAAAGCGAAAAAAAAAAATCATTTCGAATGACTGAATGTCTGGTACAAACTAAATTTAATTCCAAAAACGATGCAAAAGTAGATCATTTTCCAACCTTTTTTCTTAATGGGCATAATCACGATAGACACAAGATGCATTATTGAGATGATTTTTTTTTTCAACATGAAATCTTGAAAGTTCTATGATCAAATTTAATGTAATATAATTATGCAATATATACATTATTATATTGTATTACTATTTTACACGTCAATAAGTTAGTTGAAACCAAGGAACGCAGGAATGTCGGAGATGAAATCTTGGATGGCGACTGTCTTAATTATTGTTGTTGTTATTTGCTTTCTCGAAGAACATGAAATCCTGCACAAAAAGTCGGAACGAGAGAGAGAGAGAGAGAGAGAGATGTAATCATTAGTGATCACCATTACTGGGTCTGGCGATGGATACAAATTAATATTGCAGAATTTTTGTCGAATAAATGCACATCTAAATTAATTTTAGATCAACACCTAATTCTTAATTACTTATTTTGTGTGTGTGTGGGGGGGGGGGGCGGACGCCGTTAACCTCCTTAGATCAGCCCTTTCGCTAGGAGTTCAAGGAGGGGCTCGGGCTGGGGCTGCACCTCCCAAGCTCCCCTCATGAGTTCGGAACTCCCAACGATCAGCTTTATAATTTGGGCAGCTAGATTGCCTTTATTTTTTAATCCAAAACGAAATGACATCTTATATTAAACTCATATTTTACAATTAAAAGTTGAAATCTTAACCATGTTAACGCTACAAACGATAAATACACTTAAAGGGGAAGTCCAACCTGATACTGGTAGGCTTTAATGAAAGCAATCAAATAGAGAAACAAATAAGTGAAAGTTCATGCAATATCAGATTATAAGTAGAACAGTTATGAATAATGTTGAAGTTGTGATTAATCAAACACAAATTGGCAACACTGTGACATATCTTGCGAGGTCCTCTCCAATTTGCCCTGTATACATGAAATTTCATAAACTTTTCTTTTCTGCGTTATTGACGACATGATACGTTTTTTTTCTTCCATACAGGGGTTAATATATAGACACATATTTGCAACAGTTATATTTAGGGTACATGTACGATTGATAATTATCTTTGGAGGGGAGTTTGCAAGATTCGTCACAGAGTTGCCGCGCTTAATAACGGTGCATTATTGTGGGCGAGTCCAGCACCCACAAACCCCGGCTGTAACCGAGCTCCCGACCCAATCCCTTGAGGCGCCAAAAGGATTCCTACCATGTTGTAGGGCCTACCCATTTACTACACACGGTCTCTACAGACAAGTGGCCTTTATAGAGAGGTGGCCACTAAGACAAGTTTGACTGTACTTATATAATAGGCTTAATCATGACATTTGCACTGCAAGATGTCAATTCTAGTTCGAACTTGGTAAGAACAGAAAGAGCTTTTTTGTGACACAATGGTATTATTTTGAGATCAAAATGACCGACTATAGACAAGAAAAGACAGTTCCCCGGCAAAAACAAACCAATGGTGGATATAAGGTATCAGACCCATTCAGACTATTATAACCTAGTTAGTCGCGATGTTAGCAAGATGAAGACGATTGGACCCAAGTGTAAATGGCCTATAGAGAATTGAGTTATGAAAGACATGTCGCAGAATGAAGTTTAGAGCTTTTTTTTTTAGCTGTCAAGGTATCTTCTCCAATCTCGGAGGTTAATTGCAACATTTTTCTATACATCTCTGTTTTCTGCCACCTTAGTACACTATTGCATCGCCATTCCTCTCCATGTCCCAATGTTTCCCTCCAAGTTAGTCCCTCCAAGTTAGTTAGTAGAACTTTACCTTTTATTTAGTTGTTGTTATTGTTTTGACCCCTCGAAGAACATGATGTCCTACACGAAGTACACAAGACAAATGTGAAAGAGAGCCATGGAGAGAGAGAGATAGGGAGAGAGAGAGAGAGAGAGAGATTACAATGAAGGAAAAGATAAATGATTAATAATACTAAAGAGAAAGAAAAACCAAACAACACTACTAAGATGTATCAAAATAATAAATATTCATGAAATCAAACATGCAAGTTAGAACACTCATCAAATCATAATACATGCCTTGTCTACGTGGATATGAGGAGAGGGAGCGGGGGTCGAAAGAGGGGCAGAGAGAGAAAGAGGGGGGAATGGGGGAGGAGAGAGAGGGTTGTAGAAAAAGAGGTGTAGAGAGAGGGGGATCGAGAAAGGGGCAAAGAGAGAGGGGAGAAAGAGAGAGAGAGAGAGAGGAGAGCGAGGGGAAAAGAAAGAGGGATATAGATGATAGAAAGAGAGGTAGAGATATAATGATAGGGGGAGGGGAGAGGGAGGGAGGGGGAGGACCAAAGAGGTTAACAGGGGAAAATATATCTAGAGGGACTAAAATAAAATAAATGTGAAGAGATAGGCTACGATTCATACAAGTCAAACTTTTTGGGCTGCCTTCAAAATGTCAGACTCTGGAAAAGTGGAATTGTGTGTACGTGTATTATCTTCCCTTTGTTATAAGGAAGAAATATTTAACTTCATCACCAATATAAACACTGGCATATCGGAGGGAGGAGAAGCCTTTGTACCCCCCCCCCCCATTACCAATTTCTGGATACGCCACTTTTAAAGATTATTAAGGAAGAATGAAAGATATAGAGGAATCAGTAAACTAATTTGACAAACAAAAATGTTAAATTCTCATTTATTGCCAAAATATTCTCTGCTGAGAACCAGAAGTGTGTTAACTCATGTATATTTACAATAGAATGAGTAATGTCTTTTTAACTCGAAGGAAACAGAGCACATTTACTACCAATCATGCTATTAAAACACAAGTGACATAATACGTGTCCACACGATAAACATGCATGCAACTTTTGGTGAAGGATGAGTATCAATATACAACTTACAATGAGGAACACAGCCGCCAAAAGAGTCGCCTTCACGTTTACATGCAGGTCAGCGGGGACTAAAATTGGATAATGAGAACACATCATCAAACTTTGATTAATGGATGCTTATAATATAGAAGCTATGGCAATTCAATGCGAGGAATTGCCTTAGGTATCACTGAATTTTGCATTTAATAGTGCAAGTTAAGGATACTAATTTCGGGCTTTACATAATTGAGGTAGAGTACGCACATAACAATCATTGGTCTATTACGGGCCCAGTTCAGAAGTCTTGCATTCATATGCAACTGTTTTACTAATATGTTTTATTGATTTTACAATGTATACGGTATAACAAAATATATATAAAAAGAAAATTTATGATGGAAAAAACGAAAAAACGAAAAAATGTTTTGGAAAAAACAGTATGGAAAACAATCTAAATAAATCCTTCATCAAAACGTACAAAAATCACCCTTGAATATACATTTCGTATTTTTACATTCGGTACTAAATATGTTGAGAGGCGCAAATTTGTACAAATAAGATTTTTGTTTTGTTTTGTTTTGTTCATACACGTCCGGATCAGGATTTTGCATTCAGCCTGGTTAAACTGAGTAAAACCAACACAGGCACTGAATATGACAATCAAAAAATGTTTATGCAATTAATCTGGTATATTTTCTTCTGATAAAGGAAACGAATGGAACTGTAGGCCTACTATTAAATGTGCTTTCTGGAACTGTGGCTTCAGGTTCTTCCAATTCTTTAAATGGTAAAATCTATAACATGAAAGCCCCACTGTCCTACTTATAGCTACTTGCTCCCTCTACATATATAAAAAAACTTCCCAAATCGGTGCCTGTTGGTCCCCCATGATCCTCTTTTTCTTATGTTAGTTGAGAGCTGAGTTGATGAGATAGCAACCTGCCAGTGACCTGGCTGGGTGGTCTAATCCCTACTGACCCAGTAGTATTGACGGTCTTTAATTCGCAATTTTCCCGGTAACTTACATGTCACACCAAAGTTATCGGCGTCGGTCCATGCAGCCTTGTAACATCCGGGCCAATGCTTGAAAACCTTTCCAATTGTCGTGGCCATGTCACCAGTAAAGACCTGCAAACGGACGATGGATCAGGGACACATGAGAATACTGGTCACGATGATGAAGTAAAAGAGGTTAATTCTGCTCATATTTCGGGTATAAACAAATTCAGAGTATATCTGTTTACTTGACTTTACTCAGTAAACATTCAGCAAAAGTTACAAACTACAGGAAAATATTCATGTTACGTCCAGGAGGGCTCTAATCATTCCTTTAATCTTAGGGAGAAAACAAAACTTAAAGCAGAATGCACTTAAAATATCTTGGTATTTAACAATATAAAGAAACCTGGCATAACAAAATGGAGTTATAACTCCACACACAGGTGCGCAAATGTACGTTGAATTATAGTCGTCAGAACTGTCATTTTGATGTTATCAAAAATATAATTCTGAATTGTTTATAGAATATAGGCATTGGCATTGTTTGCAAATCATTGACTGAACTCCATCAAAGCTAGAACTTTAAATTCATATTCCTTAAAAACAAAGGAAATTGGTATGTTCTGCAGTCGCTAAAGAAAAGATATGATGTACGTGATGTACCTCCTTTGGAACAATCACTTTTATTACCCTCTTAATACCTCTATATTTTTAGAAAAGAAATTGAAGTTAAAGATAAAGTTGAGTTCTGGTCATTCGATTGCATTGTGAAAGAAAAGGTGTGGAATGGATCAAAAAAGTTGATAATGACATGTATCATATAAGTATTGGTGTGAACTGCAAGGTTCTGGAGTCATCGATATCATAATAAATTTGGCCCAGTCTTGGTAAAGTAACAAGCACTGTACACAGAAAGATGTATATGGGACTTCACAAAATGGTGTCGGGCCTACTGACCTTGATTTCCTTATCTTTCAATGCTCATTACTCAGCCAGTATACATTTTCTACCAAAATTGTTTGGCAAATGACATTTATTTGTAATCTTGAACTTTCAGTGTAAGTTTCGTTTGATTCTGTGAGAATGCATTTTTTTTTTTTTTTTACTAGAACTCAAGTTTATCTCTAAAGTGAAGAAGAAACCCTGGCTGGCTGGTCTTGGTTGAAACTTACATCAAATTCGATGTCTTGACACATACAGTAGGGTCCCTTAATCTTGACAACAGGCCTCCTCTCAGCATCAAGGATATCAAACTTGGGCCCTAAGTAATATTGTCTGAAAATAACATTACTTATTGTGCAATTATTCAATGATTCAAATGATTTTATTTCTCATGCAAAACATAATACAATGAATATTACCAAAAATATACAATGAAACGACAAATACAATAGTAACAGCACGAGAAAAGAGGAACTAATTACAAGCAGAGCTTGTTGAAGTATTAGTTCCTCAGATGCTGTTTTACAATATATCTTGAACAAAGTAAAATTAATAAATTAAAAAAATGTGTAGCAACAAAATTATGAAATTTTTTGGGAAAAAAATAAAAGAGAGCAAAAAATGGAGAAAAAAAGTAAAATGCAATAAAATTTAAAAAAGATAGAAAGGGAAAATGAATGGTTACAAAAGCTCTAGAAAAAAGGAGGTTAGATCAGCAGAATGAGAGAGAAAGGGATTGAGACGAGAGTCAATCAACCACTGATAATATGTACTATCGCCTTCACTAATGACATATACCTTCATCAATATACATTCATAAATAGCATACGGTTGCCTTTATTATTAGAGCCACAGCTCATTGTTATACAGATGCAGCATTTGCAGTCAGAGCCGAATTATGTATTATCATCGTAATATAGGTAGGAATTCATTTTTCTCTTTAATTGACAAAAAAGAGGAACAATCAATGGTAAATATATTGAAATCCTTTAAATCTTAAGATTAAATATTTTGAACCTTCAGATAAGTACAACAAATTTGCGATTTTAAATTCCTTATTTCACTTCCAGCTTACTGAATCCACAAATAGTGTAGAAAATGTTTGTGTTCGGAATTATCCATCTTCGGAAAATCGAGCATAACGCCGTTGCGCATGAGGCATCATTTCGAATGCGTTACTTCCTGCGCTAAGCAAGCTAGTAACTTTAATCATACGCCACGATTGTATTAAGTCTACATCCCATTTTGTTTTCACTCTATGTACAAAATAACTTTCACATTGGCGCATCAAAGACCGCGCCAGTCACTGACGGAATCTTACGTCAGCAACAACGACGCTTCCGTGCTATGTGTTACACAAACCACTTTTTAAACCTAACTGACCCTAGTAAACAAAATTCAAAGCCAAAGCTTTAAGTTGTCATACTATAATAGATGCCTAAAACAATTTTGAGAATCATAATAACGTCACACATGGGGAGATAGTTGCGTCAATTTAAAAGCACTTACGATTGCCTGACGTATCCGACAACGTTTCCGACGGGAGCTTCTACTTTGACTTCGAAGGAACATGAATCGCTGTTGGCGCAACATCCACAGCCAGCGCAGCACTTGAATTCACGGACGAGACGCATCACCTCCTGCACCGGGTCAAATATTGACGCAAGAAAGGCAAACAAAATGAAAAATTGGTTACTGTTCGTCGATACGTCAATGCTGGTTTAACAGGGTACCACATAGGATGTCTCATCACGTTTTATATAATTAGCCGATAGAAGAGTTATTGTGCTAGATCAGTGACTAATTTCCACCTTCTGCTCGTTATACCAGGGACGTGATAGAGAAGGACTTGAATCAAGCCGTTCTCCTTTGACCCCATGCTCCAAGCCGCCGGAAAGTTATGCGCTAATCTGCAGCTGTTGACCAGGTGGTGAGATAAAAGAGCGCATGAAATTTTAGGATTTAGAATTCCTACATCAGAAAATGGTATCACAGCAACTGTTCGCTGTCCCTTCCAATGATTTATCATCCATTGTTGAATGTGTAAAGAGGAGAACAAGCGAACACAAACTTCTGTAATTTCATTCTTTTTTAAACTTGAAAAATACAAAAAACACGCGAAAACACGCATTAGCAAACTTAATGTTATTGAAGATTGTAAATCATGGATCAAATAACGGGACATTAAAGCATGCACAAATTAGCGCATCATCCTAAAATATTGAGTTTTTGACAGGATGTAATTTTTCTTTTACCAACTCTGGCACACAATTTAAAGGCAGGACGGAGTTCTAAATTTGAAAATTTGTTTGATGCACTATTCCCAATAAAATTCCCATATAAAGTTTTTAATTTACACTGTAATTTTGCCGGTAATTTAATATTTTGTAATAAATGTAAAACTGGTGCCTGGCTTCCGAAATTCCCCGCAGTGGAAGCGCGGTTCGGAGCATGGAACTTCAAAGCCAAGTGGAATGTTACACATCCCATTGTTACGCTTTAGAACTCAAGAATGCGTTTGAATAAATTACAAGAGTTTCGCCTCCTTTCTTTCACCTCCCTGGTTATACCGATAACAATTACATCACACACCGTCAGCTAAGAACGTGATTTTTCATTAATAATTTTTCATTCTTCATTTTTTCATTATGTGACAGAATAACGTGTGACGGAATGGGTTTTTGGCATAATAGGGTGGGAATATTGTTAGTTGTAACAGATGATTAACGCAGGAGTGACCTCTACCAAAATAGTTGTCACACCTAGCTGTTGGCTGTTATCCGTGATATAGATTCCAAACTTACGTTGGCTTCCACACTAACATTAACGATTTGGACGATTGTGGACAAAATAATTAGAGATGTGATGGACGAGGATGTGGCAAAAGAAGGCTGTGACAAAAGAAGGCTTGGGGGGGGGGGAACAATTGTGTTAGAACATACATGTCAATATGCGACGGAAACTGAACGTTGAAAAGGAGAATGTGTTAAAATTGGGGTGTGAAATGAATCAGAGTGTGACAAGATGTGGATGTGTCACGATACCAACGTGACAGAATTTAAAAAGTTATGACAAAAGTTGGGTGTGAAAATTTGGGTGTGACAGACGAGGAGTGACGCAGAAGTACATCTGACGAAAAAAAGGCATACCTGTTGGCTGTTATCCGTGATATGGAAGATGAAACCACGCTGGAATCCGCACCAAAAATGCATGCAGAAACTTGATTCTGTAAATTCAAACAAAAGTAGAATATAGTATTAACAGCACTGTCACGTCCAAGTTTTAAATATATAGATGATATTAATAATGTTCATAATTATTGATAAAAGTCACATTCATTTTATGATTGACTTGTCTAACTAAGATCATACATGTCCATCGCTGTAAAGATGCAAAACAGCGGAGCGTCTCGCGCGTCGTTAATAAGCAATCTATATTCAATTTGAGAGAAGACTTTGGAGTGAGAATTCGAGGATATTACACTATTTCTATTTTCATTAAAAAGATTCATAAGGTGTCTATACCTTTGTGAGCAAAGTAGACTTGTTGTCCCAAACTGTTCTTGATGGCATATCTGTTGGTCAACTCAACCCCACCGCACACTGCTAAGAAATGATTGAAATCAGTAACGATAAACGGCAATGATGCAACAACAAAAAACGAACAGGAAACAAATAAAAGGATAATTGTCTGAGATGGTACAAGAAGTAAAAAGTCTCGATTATGATTTGCTAGGTCCTATACCACTCAAATATGCTTCTAGATTAATACTTCATTTATTTGTCGTATATTGTATCATTCATGCATTTATTTACTCCAATAAGTTCAAGGTACATTGTATTTCAGCATGGCAATAGTCGGATTCACACACAGACAAATCAGTGACATCGGGAAATCGATTTTTGAATCGCGATTAGAATCTCACCCTTTTTCGTATGTGTGTGAACCAAAAAGATCTCACTAAAAGTGCGATTCTTTTTTTAAAACAATCGCGATTATTTGGCCAAGAGTTTTGCGTGAGGTGAGATTTTTTTTCTGGAATATAAACGGTTGCAAAATAGTGAGATTTGAATCACGATCCAAATCTTACTAATTGGTGTTTGTGCGTGTGCGTGTCTGTGCGTATGCGAATGAGCCTAATAATTATGCATTCGATAAGTGGAGCCTCCAAATAACAAGAGCTGATCAGGGTTAGGGTTGGCCCTGTTAAATGACACTATAATTGGTGACAACTAATCAATCATTACGAGTAAATTAAAAGTGTTATTGGTTCGCACTAACGTTAAAGAAATCGTTGGTTAAGAACTGTAAACTCGAATTATTATTTAACTCACCCATTTATAAACACTAGATCTATACATGTGCATTCAGACTATCTTCACAATGAGCTGATTTTCGAAGCAAATAATCAAATCAAGTGAATCATAATACATCACACCTTTTGTATTTTATTTATCATGAACCGATTTTAGAAGTAAATAATCAAATCAGGTGAAACTAGGCCTACTCAATATCATACATTTCGTGTAATGAATACGAACGACGTCTTACTTTCGATAAGGTTGACGATCTGGTGAACGAACAGCTGGTCGACTTGGGTGAGGTATTCCAGACCTGGTGGGCACCCCCGGGGAGCGGCTACCTGAGGGGCGGGCATCCAATTAACAGGGGGCTCCCCCGGCTGGGTCCCCACGGGGTTCATTGCCATCGGTGGTGGTGGTGGTGGTTGCTATAAAGAAAGAAAACATGGGATATAATAATACAAATATATTTCTTACGGATACACCGTTGTGATTGGTCCACAGCTCTGAGTCACGTGATATCGACTGCGAGGCAGGATCGTAATTAGCATATCTTACTCCGGTCCATTTTTTCGATGGTTATATTGACCACGTTGTCAAATGCGTACAATAGGGACTGTTAGATTTGCACGTCGACATAGTGGACTGCTACGTGTGACGTCTTTTTAAGGCAGCCTTAAAAGGACGTCACACGTATCAGTCCACCATGTCGACGAGCAAATCTAAAAGTCCCTATTATTCGTTTGCGAGAACAAGGGATGCGAATGAGGTCAAGATTGGAATCATTGAAACGAAAAGAAATTTGCTTGAAATAAGTATTTCCTTGAGTTTGAGTTGATTACCTGATATTAATTTACACATATTCTTTCCAAATACATTATAGTCAATGCAAATAAGAGAGCAATTTTTTTTTGGAATTAGATAACACACACATATTTAAATGGCTTTTGACCCACATTCATTGCTTCAGCACAAACTTGGTACAAGAGAATTTTGACAATACTTTTTGAAAAGCATGCAGCTCAGTCATGCGTTGCAGCACCATTAGGAAAACGGTATCAGACAGAATATGAGTCACCCTTTACCAAGGTCACACTTTTTGATTAGAAGCTATACCGAAGTTGGTTACTTTTTTGTATTTGATAAATTACGCACTGTATATATTATACAGAGTTTGGCCAACCCTGTTCGAGTCGGAAACGCCACAAACACGCCACATGAATCCATCTGAACGAAGTTAGCCAAACTCTGTGTATATAAATGGCTCTGCACATGTACTGTCTGATATCGTGCTTTGATGAATGATTTGTGCAATGTCACCATCATTCATTGTTCAAGATGTGTGAATCGGGTCGTGACATTTTTGGATAGCAAATTTACAACCCGATTTGTTGTACCATCAATGGAAATGCATCGTATATAATTTGTATACTATTATGTTTCTCCTATCTAGCATAACCGTATCCTGGAGGTCCATTGTAGTACTTGTTTTTATCATACGTCAGAACTTGAATGCATTTTCTTTTCAAAATGCCATCATTCTTTTTAAACCACAGTATAGGTGCCTGGCGGACAAATGAGTTTCATGGCTGCCCTACATGTACATAGCTCTAAATGAGTTAATTGCACATGTTTAGATAAGCATCAAATGTCACGATGATCTTCATGTACTACATGGTATTACTGGTAATGCATGTGTAACCCGTTAACCATGGGATCAATCTTGCGCATCATTCCCGCCAGCTATATTAACACAAGAAAATAGGTCAGCAATTAGCCTATTTTCTATCTACACTGCACGTAAATCCTCGGTCACAAATGCCATTACGAACGCCATATGAACGATTTTCAAACAATGGAAATTCGGGAAGACAATGGAAAAAAAGGGAGATTCGTACGAAATAATCGTTCGTATATGAACCTTTGTGACCGTAGCATTAATTAGGCATCGATATTGCACATACCCGCCAGGCCTGACAGCTAATTGTACACAAGAAAATAGGTCAGCTAATTGTATCAATTAGCCTATTATCTATCACTTCTTACACTGCACGTTAGTAGGCATCAATATTGCACATGCCTGCCAGGCCTGACAGATAAAGGTACACAATAACTTACATTAGGAGGGCTATAATATCAATTATTTTCTTTCACTTCTTACACTGCACTTAAGAAGATATAAATATTGCAAATACCTGCCAGGCATAACAGTTATATAAACATGAACAAAAGCAAGTCAGCTTGTAATGAAGAAATTAAGAGCCTGAACGCCTGAACGTCAAATATTTTTTTAATCACTTCTTAATGCACGTAAATTTACAATCAAAAGGATTTAATTAAATCTTTGAGATATGATATATAACCTATCTGGAATACTCGTTCCCAACTTAAATTTCTTGATAATTTTGTCCATGTGACTTTATGGTTTTTATGAACTTCAATGGCGAAAGATTCACAATGTACTGAACTTGATTAAAAAGCAGTTAAGTTTGTTCCTTCAACCTTCTAAGTAGCTAAACATTTTTGAATTGTTAAACATTTTCACGCAATTGTACGAATAGTTTCAAAGTATTGAATTTCTCGTTGTATTTCATGATCTTTGTTATAAATTCATTGTGTTTACGAACCAACTTCTAGCATTCTTTAGCACATTTTGAATACTTCTCTTTCATATCATTATCATGATTTTTCCTTCCACTTCACTGAGTTCCATAAAGAACTTGTTATTTATTAGGAGCGGTATGCGATTCGTGATCTTTCATGATGAAATTCTTATTCAAAACCCTGCAGCTATTTTCTCCCTTCTCATTCATCCCCTGATAAAATGGCAGCTTTTTGGGATTAGTTCTGTACAACCGGTAACTCACTCACATTCCATGTATACCTGTTCTAATCCATAGCTGTGTTTTCATATCGTGCTAGTTGTTGTTATTTAAGGTTTAGGCAAGGGACATTGCCATACACAACAACAACGATATAATTTTTGAAAAGTAAGATGCTATTCTTAGTATAGGGAAAAAAGTTTTAGCAGGCCAACTCACTAGTTCAAGTTTGTGGTATAAGCAATGATACTGTACATGTATGTTGTGCTTGGGAAATGATAATCATGCAGATTTCCCCCATAATCTTATAATTTTTACGAATAGGTCATGTGAACAAAAAGTTTTTCGACGTTAGAATGTTTGTGTACAATCTTTCAAGATCGAGAAAAAAAAGAGAAGATTTTTACCTTATTATATTAATTACCTTTGAATTACTTATCGAATGAGTAATGAGTAACCATGTAAAGCAGGTGGTCTAAAATACGCCTTGTAAATCTCGTAAAAGCACCCATTGAAAGTAATTTGTAAATAATTACTAAATGATAGTAAAAGGTTATTTTCTTAATAGGCCTATCAAGTAATTCACTTATTTTCGAGTGTATCATTATCCTTGATATTTCCCGATATAAATTGGGCTATCCACGTGTGAAACATTTAAAATAGAAGTGTAATAACATATAACGTTACATAGTATAATTACATGTAAAGTTCTTTTGACAGAAATCTGAAAACAGAAAAACTGTTATCAAATCCCGAAACGTCACGTAATCTATGACTATTTGAGCTTCATACGTCAGAATTGAAATCAAAGTCGAATTGCAATAAAATAGGTTACCAAGTATATAAAAACAGGACCTGCATAATTTGTATCATCGAGATTAAAATTATCATACTATCTTTGTTATTGCATGATCTATTCATTTTCATTACAATACACCAGTTTACAGTTGTATCAGTGCGCATGCGCAGACAGATGTCAGAGGTTATTGGCCCAAAAATTGGGGCCAATAACCTCTGACCTCTGGTATTTATGCGTAAATTAAGATTGCGCCCATGCAAATGATGATATGCGCGCACAACGCAGCGCGCAGGCAGTGATATCATAATTTGCATGGGCGCAATCTTAATTTACGCATAAATACATGACCTCTAGGTCATTGGCCTTGTTTAAAATGGCGCACACAACTGTAAACTGGTGTATTACAATGAGAATTTATGATGTATCATGAGACACTTGGACTTGCAAATCCTAATATGGGCAACTATTCATATACATTTGTGTTCAGATGAATCAAACTTATGACGCTTTCGTTGCAAATTTAAACGTTGAGTATTGTATGGCGGAAATAAAGCTACACAATACTATTGCAATACTACACTGGGTCAAACGTTTTTGTTGCAGTGTATGCACTTTTTTCTAGACCCTGTAACAGGGCATTCAACAAACCTACTCGAAAAGATTTCCTACGTAGCTTCTTAGCTTTGCAGAATTTATCTATTTTACTATTATTAACCTAAAATAAATAGGCCCATTCGTGTGTTGTACAGAGGCATTTGTATAAAGCCTCAAACAATAAGAACACAAGTACAAACTCCAAAAAGCTCTCATCGTTGTTGAAATTAGGTCATGTTACGTAACAAGTACATTCGCTCTGACCATCTTTTGAAAGAGGGTGGTATACACCCGGCCCCCCCACTCAGTGTTATTTAGGGTACGCATATGCTCGTTCCCTCTTTTTGAAAGCACCCCCTATCTGAGGACTGCCAACATTTCCGAACCCCCCTTTCGCGGGCTTTTCGCGCGCTTTTCCTGCCTTGGAGACCCCCTTAATCAGGAAAAATGCTCAATGTACCCCCCTAAATTCGGAATAAGTCCAAAGAGATGAGAGAAAAAAAGAAAAAACACCCCCTTTTTAAAGAAATCTCCGGTGAAAAGTCAAATACACCCCTTTTTTTACAGTTCTCGGGCCGGACTTTGTCGCACGAAAAGTACCCCTTTACCGGACATTTTGGCAACACGCATGCGGTCATTTCGAAACCTGAGTTGGGGGGGGGGGGGGGGCCGGGGGTATACACTTTCGCTCTTGCTTTGTTGAAGGACAACGCCATGGAGATGGTGGCCGATGTTGGTTTTGGTCGAGATACAAAGGAAAACTTCAAACGGACCGTTACACGTCAACCACGAAGCATTATTAGGGACTTTTAGATTTGCGTGGGCTGATACGTGTGACGTCCATTCAAGGCAGTGCATTAAAAGGACGTCGATCGTAGCAATCCCCATTGTCTTCGTGCGAATCTAAAAGTCCCTATTATGCAGCAACAACAAAATAGCTCCGTTACAAATTTTTACGTATGCCATGTTTCAATTATTGTACGTGTGGTTACACATGAATACATCTCCTGTAAAATGACTGCTTTTGGAGTTTGTTTAAGTGGAAAATGCTGAGCAACAGGATTAAAAAACTACAGAATTTTTTTGGAGATATAGCCTGATAAAGGCCAAAACGAATGAAAATGTAATATATATATTTGATACATAAACAAACAAATGATGCTAATGAAAGATAAACAAATATATTTACAAGCATCTGAAATCGTACTTTTCA